CCGTTACCGTTACCGTTACCGTTACCGTTACCGTTACGTTACGTTACGTTTACGTTAGTTAGTTAGTAGTAGTAGAGAGAGAGAGAGAGAGAGAGAGAGAGAGAGAGAGAGATTCTTTATTTATGAAAGTCAATCATGTTATAATGTGTTTGGTATTGGCATAAATGTACCAGCTTGTTTTTAGAACATTTTGGCATCTAGAGAGAGAGAGAAGTTTCTTATTTATGAAAATCAATCATGTTGTAACATGGTTGATCCTACTATGAATGTATTATATTGTTCTCCGAACATATTGGCATCCACCTGTGATGGTGCACTCAAGGCTTCATGGTTCTTATTATTGTCTGCTTATCATTTTAGTAATGAAATAATATTATTAACTTTTGCCTCAATAATCCTTTTGGACCAGGAATGACAAGGGTAACACCCTCACTGCATCTTACTACCACACAGTGAGCCCTCTCACTAGGACCTCAGTGGGTGCTGAGCTTTCCCACAGTTTGTCGACAAATGAGAACACCTTAACCATTGGAACCCAGCACTCACTTGATCCCCTGACCACGGTTAAGGGTCGGCTTAACAACTTTGGTAAGGCGAGCGCTCTCATTCAACATGAGTGGAGGCCAAAGTCCCTCTTCACTCTCTGTGGTGAAGTCGATGCTCGAGCCATTGAGAAGAGTGCAAAGGTTGGGCTCTCTGTAGCCCTCAAGCCTTGAAGTTGAGAGAGTGAGAGCATGGAAGAGAAAAAGGCAATAACGTCAAAGGAGACTGAAAAACTGTTTTTTTTTGTCTTTTCCCATCCTTATTGGGTTTTTTCCTGTTTTGTGACTATCAAGTTTTGCCCGTTATCTTTTTTGTTGGAGCGCAATGTAGAAATAATTCTGGCCATGGAGGACCAGATAGATTTACCTCCATTTTGAGTTTCTTGATTGATTATTATGGTTTTTTGCTTTAATTTGAAGCTAGATAGAGCTCCATTTTGTGTTTCCTGTGGTTCTCTGTCTCTAAATTGAAGAGATCAGAAATTCGCTTGGAGACATCAACAGAGATGGCATGGTTTTCGATGCTTATGTTTTGCGATGAAAGTTGCAGCTGATTTGTTATGTGCATTGGAAGGTGCCAGGTGCTTTTCTTTCACTTTTGAATGGCTATGGAATTTTTGTAGTATTTTTTTCCTTTAAAGGCAAATGGGTATGAAGTTTCTAGGAAAATGTGTAAGCTTTTCTTTAGTAAGGTTGTGGTTATGTAGTTTCTCTGCTAAAATTGTGGGGTGATTTGTCTAACTTGATGGTCATTGGTTTGGGTTGGGATATTCTCTATAATACTGTAGTGGTTGTAGTAGAAGGAAACGTCAATTGCTCTTATACATAAGATTTTAAATTCGGTGGCGGTGTTATTGATTAGACTAGAAGCTTAAAAGAAAATTCTTGAACTTCGAAACACACATTAAATCATTTAACTTGACATTGATGGTTAGAACTGATTGTGACCTTCCTTGTAACAATGGTATATGATTTCATAGTATGAGATCTCATTTCTTTTTGGTTTGAATCTCATAGAGCTGGTTTGCGTGGAGAGAGTAATCTGACCATCACTTTTGAGTGTTGAAAGAGTTTTCAATGGCAATTTTTCTGGGGCAAGCTTTCTATGCTTCCCCTTCAGCATAAAATTTGTATATTTCTTTTTATCCAATCGTCCATTCTGAATAGAGGGCTTAGATTGTATCAATCATAATGTCATGTCTCTACATTATTTTATTTTTAATTTTTATTCTATAAACTATTTTGACACCAAATTTTGACACCAAATTTTTATTCTATAAACTATTTTGATATCAAATTTTTATTCTATAAACTATTTTATTTTATAAACTATTTTGACATCAAAATTTTATTCTATAAACTATTTGGACACCAAATTTTTATTTTATAAACTATTTTGATACCAAATTTTGTATGTCCAATCTTCTATTAAACTTGTATTAATAAAAACTATAAAAGAAATATTTTTCATAAAATAAAATGATCGAAATACCCTTGACAGTTTTATAGGTGTGCCTCAATGAAAAGATGATACGTATCAAATTTCATATCTATACAATTTGTAAAAAAAAAACTAAAAATAAAATATTTGGAAGACGTTGGATCTAAGATCACACGGTGAGTGGCTCTCGCTTGATCAAAATTGGATGGTTAGATAGTAGGGGAAGTATAGATCTTCTATGCTGTATGAGAAGTATAGAAACCTTTCCTAGTTTTCAGTAATTGGTATTGGACCACTTCTACAGTGGTTGGTACAGTTTTTGCAATCGTTCCTTCCATTGAGTTTTACAGTGGTATTGGACCACTTCTACAGTGGTTGGTACAGGTTTTGCAATCGTTCCTTCCATTGAGTTTTACAGTGGTGATTGGTGAGATAGGGATCACTCAGTGATGCAGTTTTAATATGGTCTCTAATAGGGGCAATTTTTCCTTTGAACTTTGATGCGGTACAGAGAGAGATTGCGTCTCACATTTTTTCCTCTGGTAAGAATTCTAATTTGCTCACAAGAGAGATGTCGCAATTTTTCCTCACTGGTAGAGTTTTAATTTGCTCACCAAAGAGAGAAGAGAGAGAAAGGTGTTGTAATTTTTCCTCTAAGCTTTGATTGTGATAAGGGGGATAGAAATTGCTTCCTTCACAATTTTTCCTCACTGGTAGAGTTTTAATTTGCTCACAAGAGAGAGAGAGAGGTGTGTGGTTGAATGTTAGGTATGAGAGATCAAATATGGCAAAATAAACAAATTGCATCAAAATAATAATTTCAATTCACCAAAAACTGACATTGCCATTTGAACATGTTCAATAATTCAGGTTGAGCAACTGACGTATACAGTAATTGATTGCAACAACCAGCTAATAATTCCACGCCCTTTAATTTAATGAATCCAGTGAAGTTTTTCTTGGCTCTAAGGATTACCTAATTTAATGAATCCAGTGAAGTTTTTCTTGGCTCTAAAGATTACCGAGTCGGGCTAAATGCAGCTCATTTAGAAGACACTCGGACGATGTTGTTCTTTATTTTGCGAGAGAGAGAGAACTGACACTTTTGCATGGAGGATTTTGACAAAGAAAGCAAAAATGTCTTTGAATTTTTTTGTGACAATAGAAGTGTCTTGAATTTTGAACTTTTATAGTGTCAGACGAGCGTGTCTATAGTGTGTCGAATAAATTCGAAAAAAACACAAACACGTTTGTGTTCTGTGTCCTCCTAACAAAGGAGGCAACAGGCAACAAGAGTCAAGAGAGTCAATCACATCATCATATGCTTAGAGAGACAGGGAAAGCAACATTCAGAAAAGAACAAGGAAAAGTGCAAACAACAGAGATTTTATCACATTCAACGAAAGTAACATTATCTCACTAGAAAAGCAGCCAACTGATTCACAAAAGGTTCTATAAGTCTTTATAGAAAGAGCATGGAGAAAGAGAGAGCATGAAATAACATGGGAGATCAGAGAAATCCCAATACTTAAACAGTTCAATCAAAGGAACGCAGCTTTTTTTTTAAGTGGGATTTGAGGGGAGGGATTAATCACTCACTATTCATGGTGGACTTGCGACTGAAGCAATCCATCCCTAATCTGTGCAGCTACATCACGAACAGCACCAGGGCCATGAGGAATGAACACAGCAGATGATTTTGAAGTGGCCCCTATCTCTTTCATTGTATCGAAATATTGGGTAACCAGGACCATGTCCATAACATCTTTAGCAGTGGTTCCTGGTACATTCACTGAAAATCCAAGTACACTATCTCGCAACCCATCAACAATGGCTTGCCTTTGCCGTGCAATTCCGAGACCAGCGAGGTATTTGGATTCTGCTTCACCCTCTGCCCTTTTGATTTGGATTATTTTCTCAGCCTCTGCCTTCTCCTTGGTAGCCAACCTCATTCGTGAGGCTAAATAGAATTGATAGGATTCAGGAAAAATGAAGGTCATTAATGAAAATAAATTATGGAACCTCAGAAAGATATACGTGTCTTTTCTTTTTTTTGGCTGTTTCTTTGTTTTTAGTTTTGGAATTTGGATGTGGTGATTGTTTTTAGTTTTGGAATTTGGACGCTGGATGTAGTGGGTTGAAAGATTGAAATTTCAAATCTTGGTGAAATTTTGAAATTTCAAATCTTTCGGGACTGATGATTTCTTATGAGAGAATTTGAACAAAGGTCTTCCTTACAACATTTTTTTTGAGAGAAAGGTTAACACAGTACAACACATCCATCATTATTGGATGGTATATGATAGGTACCCCATGGGCCATCCACCATGAACAGTAACTGCAGTTTCTCTATCCGACAACTAAAGAGTTGCCATATCTCACACCTAAAGGCCATTTCTCAGCCAAAACTTATCCTAATACTATGATTTCTATCTTTCACCCTATAGTTGATACCATTTCGTAAGTGAATCAAGAGAATCAAGAGGGAGAGCTATAGCCAAGAAGGTCTCAATAGATGAACAAGAAGCGTTAATTTTCTAACAGAGCCAACTTTCACTTATTTCTCCATCCCTAGGTTCAAAATGAAGCTTGAATTAATCTTAACGAGAAATCCACCCTATAACAATCAGAGACAAGTCTCAACCAGTGACCTCCAACCAAACTGACACTCTCTTGTCTAGACAATATCCAAAATCAAGCTTGCTATTGGAAATTCCAGGACAATTGGAAATTCTGGTGGGTCTGAACAAATTGCTAGGCAGTTTGTTTATTTTCCATTCCATTTTGTATCCATGGTAAATGAAAGCACAAACCTGCATTGATCTCGTTCATAGCTCTCTTCACATGCTCATCTGGTTCAATATCCACTATCAGAGTCTGCACTATCTGGTATCCATAAGCAGACATTGCCTGTAACAAACAGGAGAAACATGAGATTAGATAAAATGGACAGATTCTCGTAGGAAACAAATCAAAAAGTTATTCCAATATTCCAAGAAACTAAAACGTTACCCCCACAATCCATACCTGCTACTGCAGCATGCCCATTGACTACAGTATTCACTTTTATCATTCATAAAAACAGAATGACTAAGTGGTAAAGGCTCAAAGCAGATGACATTTTAACTTCTAAGGAAAAACAAAAGCTAATCAAGTCTTATGGGCATTCTAAAAAACCCATCATCATTTTTTTAATTTTTATTATTTGGCTGCAACTATTTCAACAACTTTCTGGACTTGTTTTTTGGCTGTTCGCTTTCTGAACTTCTCATGAACTAATGACAGTAATCATTCTTTCTAAACTGGGATTAGAAAAAAATATAAGGACCTTAGGCGATAACAATGAAAGAATATGTTTCTGCAAAAATTTTAATCACCTTCTCAAGTTCATCTTCCACAGCCTTGGCAATATCATTCTTCTGTTCAAAGACATCATCCAAGTCGAGCTTTGGAACGCTTGCCCTGATCACTGTCAAACACAAGGAAGAATTTAGTCCCTTAGTTAAGATAGGTGCAACAGCATATCCTAATACAAAACAAGTATCACATATGGTTTTTAAGTAAGTCCAGGACCATTTTCCTCCTTCGAATCTGAATTGAAAATGACATCTACTACTTTTATATTTGAGATTTGGTATGGTCCGTCTGATAGTGTGTTAAAACTCTGAAGACGTACCATCGAAAACATATGCTTGGATTTGTGTCCTTGTATTGCTTAGCTTGTAGAAAGCATCGCTTGCCTTATCAGCAAGCGCACGATACTGAATGGAAGCAACTACGGTAACAAAGACATTATCCTGTGAGACAAGAAAGCGATTAATGCTATTATCCAACATCATTATGCTTCATGTATGTAGCTCTGTATCAAATGAGTGAATTATGCCTTTCTATGACAATATTTAAGACTCTGACTCTGCTAGGGACTAGCCCAAGCCCATGGAGAGTCAAGTTGGGTTTGGACTTGCAGAGCCATATCAATTTCATTATACAAAAGGCTAATCAACTCGTTTGTGCTTTTTAGCACCACCTTCAAAGGTATGGCTCCTTGACTGCCCCCAAACAAACCAATATGTCTACCATTGAGGTGAAGCTTAAGGATGAAAACTAACGCTTCATTGGGCTCTTTGGGACAAATACTTGATCTCTCTCATCCAAACCGATGTCTGCCACTGAGCTGAAGCCCAAGGTGAGCATCAATTTCATTACAGAAAAGCTTAATTTCATAAATGGTAGAAAACGGAGAAATGAGTAAAATTCACAAATAACAAAAAGTACGGACAACAAATCTGTACAGGGTAATTTCTGCCTTCTTTTTTGCACATCACCATAACAAATTAATAAACTTATATGGGTGATATATTACATAAAAGTCCAAAACAAAGAAGAGAAGCAATATAAGCAAGAGAATGGAAAAACCGAAGAAATCAAAACCAAAGAAATCAAAACCAACCAAAACGCCTAGGCATGTCCTTTTATATCAAGGCAAAACATCGAATAAGACACGTCCATTCTAAATCATGATTAATGAATACTGCGGCATGGATGTTTATCAGAACTAACTAGTTTGCAAAAACCAAAAAGGTAGAACTGTAAACCTTGGTCTTTGTTTCGCATCTAACATCAAGTTGTTGCAAACGTAATGTGAGATGACCAGCAAGCTGGCTACCAAGAAACCATGGCATGCAATGGCAACCTGGCTCAAGCACATCATCAAATCGCCCAAACCTCTCTTTAATAGCTACAGTTGACTGGTCCACTTGAATACAGCAACAAAGAAATTGACCCATGGCTCACTGACCATACAACAAAGTATATGGAGAGAAGTGAAAATAAAGAATACAACATGCCCTAAAAGGGTATAGAATGGTGCCTCATAAATGATTGACCAAACCCACCGAGTGAATGGAAAATAGAAATTAATCAGACTAACTGTTTAAGTGATGCACAACAATATACTATTTAATATGGATTCAGTCCCTCAAAAACTACAATAATCCTCCTCTTCAAAGATAAACTATAGCAGCCGAATGATACAAAACAATATTAGCTTGAAGCATGTGCAAGGATGACAAGCACAAAACCAGATATCAAGAATAACACTGTGGATAACTGAGACCATGCCCCTTTTTGGCTTTAACCAAAAAGCTTCTGATGAAACAAATGATATTTAATGTTTGAGCATCATCTAATTTCTGGGAAATCTCCCTAATTTCAGTTATTTTCACCATTGCAGACCACAAGCCATAAAGAATATGATAAAACAAAGTACAATCATAGATGAAGGCCCAATTCCTGGTCATATTTCTGAAAAAATTCCATAACTTCAATTATTCTCAGCATTGAAGATCATTACTTAAAATTCAAACTCAGATCGAGACAAGTCGAGTAGTGTTGTGCAGCGAGACTAAGTTCAGTTGACTCTACTTGCAGTAACGTTTCATTCACTGCTCAAATATTTGCCCATACGATGCTGATCCATACTAAGTGAATGAAACCATTTAAATGAAAATTCACCAAAAGAACAAAAGCTAAGCTTGTCTAAACATAATGACAATAAACATGAACACAATAGAGTTCTAGCTATCACCAAAAGTCAAGATCAATTCCAATTAAACACATTATCCGAACCACCATTACAAAAATCTCTGTTGGTTCCTTCTCCAACGTCCTCAGTACAAAGAGATCTTTTCATTTCAAACCATATAAATTTCAACTTCTAATGAGACAGGAACCTACCCAATTTTAGGCTGAAAATTTTGAAATTTCACATGTTAGCTACCGGTAAAAATCACATTAATAGATCTCATGTAACTCACAAATATGTGAAAGTGTAAACAAAAATTAAGATGGTTGGGGCAAGAACTTTGTCCTTAGAAAGAACATGTTTAAAAGATACATGAATGCTTTAGTTGTTGAAGGGCCTGATAACACACATACGCAAAGAAAGAAGAGAGAAGAACACTCACCTTCTATTCAACAAATTTTTGAGTTTATTACCTCAGTGGGTTTTATGCACTCTCTACAATCCTATCTACACCTCTCTCTAGGCTCGGTGGCCTCTCTCAAACAACCCTTTCTCTCTCTACAAGGCTCGGTGGCCTCTCTTCCCTTTCCACTCTGTAACTCACCCTCAAAGCACCTCTAATCTGTTGAATTTACGTGATCCCTCTCTCCACTCACCACTCACCACCTATTCGTATAGGCCTAATGAAATATAAATCTCAGTTCTAATTCTAGTCTTTATCTTGACTGCAAAGATATACATATATATATATATATATATATTATTAATAAACTCATACAGTATATTATTAATCTAGAACAATAGCAACCAAGTTGCTATTTTTGTAGGAATTCTTTTATTAAAAATGATCTTTCAGGAAGACACTTATAGAGGAATACAAAAAGGAACTTCCTATTTTTAAGGATTCTTATCTAAATAATTTTTAAGGAACTTTGCACGAGGATCTTTTAGGAACTTCACCAGGATTTAAGATTGAAATATTGGAAGATGCATTTATAGAGTTTTTGTTTAGATATGTAGATAATTTTCTAAAGATTTGAATGAGTAGTAGTACCAGGAACGTCCCTGTTAGGATTTTTGGTTGTTAAGTGATCTTTTTAGGAACGTTGATTTATGTTGTAAGTGATCTTTTTAGGAACTTTACAAGTCGATCTGTTAGGAACTGCACGTAGATTTAGGATTGAAATATTTGAAGATATGTGAATTTCTTAAGAAATATAGATAATTATCTAGAGTATGAAAAGCAGAATAATATGATCTTCCCATGGGGATTGAAATATTTTAGGATGTGTATGTAGGTAAATCTAGAATTCTCTTAGAAGATAAGAATGGGGACTTTGAAATCTCTTGAAATTAAGATATACATATTAGAAACTTTTAGAATGAACAACCCATTTTTTTAAAAGAATAATAATACAAACTTCCTATTTGATATATTTTCTAAATAGATATGCATGTAGATTATAGATAATTATCTGGAGATGTTTAAAAATATATTAACGGAATGCACAATTTTTATGGATTGATTAGATAAACCCTAGCATTAACATTAAATAAGTGTATTAAAGAAAAAAGCATTCTATAAGGTTTCAAAACCCACAGGAAAAAAGTTGTTTCTAGGCTAGAAACCCTCCAACTGATCATGTCAATCTCGGTGTTTTCTTACAATTTGAATCACCCCTAACACCTGATAGATTAGGTATAACCAACGTAGAACCCATTAAAAGACCTAAGATGAACCCTACCCTAAAGGGACTCCTCTCTTAACTTAGCAAACACACCATGTATTCCATATAAGAAAATTGGCCATGGCCTAAGAATGTTTAGAATTATTACAAGAAGAAGATCGAGAAGCCCCGACTAGGAAGATGTTAACTGCGCAAAGCAATGTTTCTCAGCTGAGTCTCGTTAGTATTTTTGGTTTTGAAAAATAACAATATGGTTTTGGTGGTTTTTCCCTGAAAAAATTGTGTATTTTTAGTCCCACATTGAAAAAAAGAGAGTTAATTGTGTATTTTTAGTCCCACATTGAAAAAAAGAGAGTTAATTGTGCAGTATTTAAAAGTAGACATTCTCTCATGCCTCATATTTTTAAAACAAAAAAAATAATGATTAATTGAGCAGTATTTAAGTGTACGTATTTTCATACCTTATGCTTTTAGAACAAAGGAAGAACCACCACTTTGGTAGTGCAGCTACCATGTAGCTATAAAATGCGGTCTTTTTGGAAAAAGACGTGCCATATGAATTTCAGTGAAAGAAACTCTCTTCTCATACCTCTTCTATGCAAAAATCGCCTCTCTACTACTTTTGTCTTTGTCTATAGACTCTGGTATCTATTGTGGGTTTCCAAGCTTAGATGCATAGAGGTTTGGAACATAAAAAAAAGAGCCATATCTTTTTCTGTATCCCGAGAACGAATTGCCAAACCAATTACAGCATTGAACTCTGGTATCTATTGTGGGTTTCCAAGCTTAGACGCATAGAGCTTTAGAACATAAAAAAAAGAGCCATATCTTTTTCTTGTATCCCGAGATCGAGTTGCCAAACCAATTATAGCATTGAAAACAAGAAGGAATCAAGCCATATTTTTCAAAATTTGTACAACCTTTTTGTGCCCCTTTTTACCCTACAATTTCCAACAGGTCTCGACCTCGGCCTCTGGCCAGCGAGTTCCATAGGACAACTCACCCTTGCTTAAATTTGCTAAAAAGTGCAAATTTTTGTTAAAAATCTGAAATATATGATTTAGACATATTCTGAATATTTCAAGGTATAGATCAAATCCATCTCCGTAATTTATATACTTTTCTGGACATCTATAGACTTCAAGTCATTTCTAGTACTTATTTCACTTTTTGCTGATTTTTAAGGTTTTTTAACAGACTCTTTTTTTTAATATGCTATTTGAACAAATTTTTTATATTTCTTTTTAGTTTTTAGGCTTTTTGTCGTCGAGTCCACTCGGATCGGATCGACCAAGTGACTCAACTCGGTCGAGGACTTTGAAAATATTGGTGCAATGAATCAAAAACTGCAATTAATCAAACATGCAAAGTTAAGAAGGCAAATTAGCAATATTTAGAATCAATATTCTGAAACTAGGCTGGGCCTCGGACTCGGTCATGTCTGAGCCGAGTTACTCGGCCGAGTCCGAGCCGAGTTACTCGGCCGAGTCCGAGCAGACTCTGCCAGGTTTCTGAACATCGTTGAGAATTATCAATCCAGCCCAAGAATGTTTAGAATTATACCAAGGAGAAGATCGAGAAGCCCCCCTGCAGAGATCTTTATGGTGTGAAGAATCAAAAAGACAAAACTGTGAAATGAATCTAACCTCCAGAGGCAAGACGGCAAACAACTGTAACAACCCACGTCTTATAGAACACAAATGGCTCAGCTGGCAAAGGGTGCCCACTTGTTGAGGCCAACAAGTCAAAGTCAGCATCAAATGAATAAAACAATTAATGTTAAACATTCAATGAGATTTCCAAATGGATAATGCTCAAGGAGCTGAGCTGTTCTCCGAAATTTACAGGCAAGGAGAAAGAGATCGAATAAATAATGAGATAAGACTTCGGATATTACAAAGAAAGAGTCCTAAGTAGTTATATAATTACCTCTTTTTCTTTTTCTATTCATATTGAAAATGATAAGGACGTTGAATTTTTTACAGGTAAATTAAAGCTTTGGATTTCACTTCAGTAAATATTGAATCTTTAATGAGAAACTTCCAAATTACGCTGAAATTTCATGAATCCAAAAGCAAAATATGAATAATTTCATGAACAGAGTCGAAAAAAAGGCACAAAAGAAGCATTCCATAGAGAAAAACAAGCCATATATTTATCATATCCAGATATTTCAAGTAGACTCAAAAACATTCTCGCAGTTTCACTAAAAGCACTGTAATTACTCATTATTTCACATATTCAATTCCCAAAAAGTCCAATTCTTTTAAAATTCAAATCCAATTTTTTCCAATCAACAGTTGTATTCATGAAATTAGGTCAAAACGTTCATATTGTGATCGCACAATAAGCAACGGCGAGAAATTAGGTCAAAACGTTCATATTGTGATCGCACAATAAGCAACGGCGAGAAATTAGGTCAAAGCGTTCATATTGTCGATCGCACAATAAGCAACAGCGATTTCTTTATTATCTTGTGGCATTTTTTTTTTTCCTGATTTTACTAATTGACAAGAAAATCAAAGCAAAAAAACACAGCTAAAGTAAATAAAGCATAAAGTACCTTCTCAAAAGAATAAGTCAAATAAAGGGGGAAATTTGCTTGACACTTCCTCTTGATACAAGATAACAGAGAAGACGAATCGATAAGGACGGGAGGACCTAGAGAGAGAAAGTTGCTTTACCTCTAGAGAGAGAAAGCCTACAGAGAGAAACAGTTCCTTGGCATAATCGGCAGACCGAAGCAGAAACTCCTTCAATGGCCAGCGATGGGTTTGCGTCAGAGTGAGGTGTCAATGGGCTAAGATTAGGATTTCCATATATGATTTGATGTTTTTGGTATATAAGACTATTGAATATGGAAAAATATTATATGAGGCTGAGGTCCTAAAAGATCAAATTAAGGCGTACCGCAAAAATTCTTTATAAGAGATTTTTTTTATGTCAAAAGCCCTTGAATTCGATTTTCTCAATCTCGAGAAGTAGGGACACGAAAAACAATGGATTTTATATTTGGAATATTATCTAGGCCATCAATTTTAGATGTTTTTAAGTGTTTATAGATCTACTCAATCTACATTATTTTTAAAACTTTAAATTTTATAATCAATGATGAAAATATATTTTTTAGGCCATCGTAAAATATTTAACTTTTAAATATGATATTTAGAGTTAAGCCTTATTTTGATTGCTTAGGGCCTCGGCCTCATAGAAACCACACCTCTTAAACATTTGCTATTTCAAATTAATATTTCCATATTTGGTTATTTAATGCATATGTTTAAGAGTTGAGGAAACAAAGTCTACTTTTAAGAAGGGTGTGGTTTCTATGTGGTTACAATCTTAAACAATCCAATTAAGGTGCACTTTCAAATTTTATTATAACATATAATTTTGATGTAAAATATTTTTAGAATTATTTTAAAATATATTTTTATATCTAATTATAAAATTTTAAACTCTAGAAATGGTTAAAATCAAGTAGATCTATAAACATATGAAATTCTTGAAACTGGACAGTCTAGATAATGTGTTGTAAGATGCAATATTTTTGGGACTCAAATTCGCTTTTTGTTTTTCATAGTTATACATCCCGATGTCGAGATGATCAATTAGAGGGTTTTTCAACATTAAAACAACCTTCCGATAGATTTTTTAAGTGCATCTGCAGTTCTACATTTTAAAGTTGCAAACTTATATAAACTTTTCATTTCTTTAATAATTGTGTAGTTTGGGGACAAATGTTTTACATTGTTTGCCGTACAAGAATTTTGAGGTATTAATTATAATTTTTAAAATAAAAATACATATTTTGATACATTTCCAATACAATGACTTTTTTCCTTTCTTTAATAATTGTGTAGTTTGGGGACAAATGTTTTACATTGTTTGCCCTACAAGAATTTGAGGTGTTAATTATAATTTTTAAAATAAAAATATATATTTGATAGATTTCCAATACATTGACTTGATAGAATCTTTGGATTATAAGAAAACTATATATAAAGATACAATAGAAATAAAAAAGAAAATAATAAAGATTTCATAAATAATATTGAAGATTGGAATCAATGTGAGAAATTAAATAATATAGCTTAAAATGAAATATAGGATAAAAATACAAAAACTGCAACTGAATTTCAATAGATATCTTCTAGGCAGTCTGAACAATGACAATGGGCATGCATATTCTATATTTTTATATTTTTTATTAGGTATTATTTAAACAGCATACACCCCTATCCAAGGAACAAGCCAATTAGAGGAGCTTCTAGGAGAAACCTACCTCCAAGACAAGCCAATTTTAGGAGAAACCTACCCCTAGGACAAGCTAATTCCAGAAGAAACCTACCCCAAGGACAAGTTTTTCTAGGCCCTAGAGGACCACTGAGAGAGAGGTTGTACCTTTTTTTTCATTTGTTATTGGCCAAGGAAAAATGAATAAATAGATAAAAGAAAAAGTTTATATAACGATGCAACCTTACTTATAAGAATAAGGTTGCATTAGTCTATACCGTCTTTTTTTTTTTTTAAGTAGTAAATTTAATATAGTCTCAGAAAAATATGTCATTTTTTTATATTATCTTTAAGATTTGTATCAAGTCTTCACCGTTAAGCTAAATAGAAAGTGTTGACCGCAACTTCTACAATTAAGGTTGCATCCTTGTATAAATGGCACCCATAGGTAAATATAGAGAAATACTGTGTGAGAGAGAGAGAGAATGAATTTAGAGAGAGAAAGAGATTACTTTTGTCTTTGTGAATCGGGCAAGGAAAGACGAACATATCGATAAGTGAAATAATATTTTAGAGAGAGAGTAGATTTCCATAAGAATTAAATAAAATTTTAGATAGCTAATGGGAATCATAAAGTATGATGAAGAATTGAGGAAACAAAGAATATTAGAAAGAGATTGAAATTCTTCGGTTAGGACCATGGGTTTGGGACCATAGTATTGGCTAGACGAGTTGTTTCAAGATTGAATTTAGTTTTTAAAAGATACCCGTTTGGACGAGCATAATGTACATTTACTCCCTCACTCATAACAACTACTTATATTATTGGAAATCCAACCTCCCCCTAATGGCCGACTCTGAAATGAAAATTGATATAGAATACGTACCAATGCTCTTTATGCCTGAAATCTGCCTAATCCTTGACTTTAAGAAATAAAATTTGACTCGTAAATTCATTTACTTTTTATTATAAGATGTCGTAATCACTCTTATCCATCAAATAATGAATATGATAGCTTGGATGTATTACATAATTCAAAAAATTTCATTTTGAGTTTTGCGCCAAATCAATAACATCCCCAATCGCCCAATTTCATATCCTATGATCAATAGTGATTGTCACACGGGCGGAAATGGACCGAGCCACCCTAGCCTGTGGGTGGGGCCCTGAAAGGTCTGAAGAGGCCCTGACCCAACTCTGACCTATCGTGGCTAGGCTAGGGAGGGGCAAATATAATAAAAGTAAATAAATAATAATAAGAAAAAAAGGTCAAGGTAAGGAGAATGAAGCCGGCCCTATTGCAGACCTAGCCCAAGCCTGGCCTCGCCCTTTCCTTGGGCCATAGTAGTCTCGCCCTAGCCCGGCCTTCAGGCCTCTTTTTGTGGCCAGGCCCTTAGTTTTTACGGCCAAGTCAATCAGCCCATTGTCTGCCTTAATTATGACCTCCTCATGTTAAAAATTAAATAGTCTTATGATTTACTTTTTCAAATATTCTTTTGAATATTAACATTTAAAAATTGATTCACACAATAACTCGAAGCGTGGATAAGTCAAAAACCAATACAAACTCAAGTGGAATTGAGCATTGGCGGTAGTATTGTCAAGCCCCATGATGAGATCTTTGACTCCATTCTCACCAAAGAATAGGGGGCCCAATCCGCACTGGCATATCACTTTTTACTTATCAAAAAAAATTAAAGTGGGACCATGCATAGATGATCAAGAACTGTAAAATCTTTTATATATTTCTTACTGCACGTATGCTATGTACCCACAGGATCACATTGTATACCTACTCTCTTGAAAGAAAAACTTACTTGTGAAGAGTTTTTTTTTTTTTTCCTCCAAAATTTTAGGAACCATCAAAGAATCGGTAGATTATTTCTTTCATAAGAAAAATGTTCATTTTGAGTTTACTAACAATCAAATTTCACCATCTAAAAATTGGAAGGTATCCATTAAATCTTGTGTTTTTTTTTTTTCCCTGAAGTGTATAAGGAGTGAGATTTGGTATTTTTTTATAAATTTAGGGTAATTATATAAAATTTAACCTTGAATTATATATGGCAAAAGAATTTGGTGAGTCAGTCTACTCACTTATTCTTGTGCGTTGTGCTTCTGAAATATATCGCAAAGACGTATTTTTTATCCAAGATTTTACAGTTCGATAATCTCAACCATGACAATGATCTAAAATTTAGAATTTTTATTTTTAAAAAATATAAATATTATTTTTTGAATTCCTTTTTCCTCTATCTATGTTTACCTTTTAGTGGATGTAACACCAAAACCCATGGTTTCTATAGTTGCTAAAGAACATGTAGCTTATGATAAGCAACTCTATGGGAAATATGTGGTTTCTTTCATACTTTCGTAGGCCACGATATTTTTAGGAAGGGGTTCAAAAGAACCTGCGCATGTTTGAAAAATAAAAATCTTGAGATTGATATTGAGTATCTAATTTTTGGAGGGTTCAATCTAAGTGTTTACTAATGAAAATAAAAATTGAGTTATTTTTTTTTCTATTTTTTTTATAATTTCTGAATTTTAAAAAAAGTGTTATTTGGTTTTTGGTTTTTTTTGGGTTGGTTATGATATACTTAGTTTTAACTGAGGTTTGTGGGATGGAGTAGATTCTATGCGACCAAGCTTGCATATATAGAAATACGGGCCTATTAATAGATCTATTTTTTAGATCGATTTTAAGATTTAATTTTTAAGGACATGTAATCTCTAACATGGAGGTCATGAATATGACAAATAAATAAATTTTTTTAATGGAACACCTATTTGCATCCATCTTTACACTTTATGAACTGTTAGTTTCTATTGTTTTCAGATGGAACAACTACGTGCATCCATCTTTACAGTTTGAATAAAGATTTTGATAGTGTGAAAAAATATTGGGATGGACTTCCTTGCTGACATAGAAAGAGGTCTCTCAATTCTTTTTATTTTATTTTATTTTTTTATATTATTTTTTATTTGCATCAGTTGTTGATCACAAACAACTGTTGATTTAGTTATGGAAAGCGTAGATCAATATTTAAATGATTAATTTTTTTTTGTTGAGATCGCTACTGATAAAAAACAACTGATGATCTAATTATGGAAAATATAGATCAAATATTTGAACGATTAAAACAAAAATTTGAGATGCTCAAAAAAGACTTAACAAAGAACATACTTGCAAAGTATTACAACAAAGTCTACAAGATCTACTTAGTAGATTGTAGCATGAGAAACAAGAATATGGGT